GTCTCCAGAAATCCTGGGTACTAACAAGTGACCCACCAGACTGATGTCTTTCCAGCGCTTCTGACACACCCGTCTCCAGAAATCCTGGGTACTAAGAAGTGACCCACCAGACTGATGCCTTTCCAGCGCTTCTGACACACCCGTCTCCAGAAATCCTGGGTACTAACAAGTGACCCACCAGCCTGATGCCTTTCCAGCCAAGTCCGCTGTGACTTTGTGCCTCAGTCTTCCCTGCTGTGAAATGGGAGAGGAAGATCCTAGCGTTCTTTGCTAGCCAAGGATTCTACCCCATGCCTCTGAGTACCACTGGCCCGTGGCTTATGCTGCTTTGGGTTTCTTGTTCCCGAGGAGATTCTTTTTCTGTCTGGGATGGAAGGGAAATCTCATAGGTTCCTAACAAAAAGGATGTCCTGGGAGGGAGTGAACCAATTCATACTTGATTAACAAAAGGACAAAGGACAGAAAAGGTTGTCAGAAGACGTGGGTTCCTGGTCTGGTGTCTGCTGCCAGCCTGCGGTGTGGCCCGAGGCAGTTTCCAATGGTTGTGGTTTTTGCAGTGGCAGAGGTGTTGCGTTTTTGCAGCCATCGGCACATGGTGGTTCTTAGTAAAATACAGCCCACGGCTTCTCCGGCCCACGACGCAGGGTTGTCGTGAGCCTTGCTCATTCCAGCTTGGCACCTGCTGTGTGGGGTACGGGCAGCCTCACCGAGCTACCAGGGAGCCCCAGGAGCCACCGGCAGTTCAGCCAGGATGGCTGTGAGTAGCCAAGGGCGACGGAGGAGCTGCCCATGGCCAGGGGCCGGAGGAGGCCACCCAGAGGAAGGCACTTGTCACAGAGACCTGAGGGGTCACCAGGACCCTTGCAGGTGAGGGGAGCATGTGGCCTAATTAGGACAGTTAGAACTCTGCAGATGCTCGGGAAGGTCAGATGTTCCTGAATATTCTCAGGGTAACTACTACCCAGGGACCCCATGTGTTGCTTTGGGACCACAGCCATGGGATCCTTTAGTTCTCCAGTGAGACTGAGCTGCTTCTCAATTCTGTGTCTCAGCATGGGGCAGATTTTGGAGACAGGATTTCCCCAAGCGCCATAGCCCAACCCCGGCCTCCCGTGACTTGACCTCAAGGTGGTTTTGCGTTTCCTTCAAAGATGTGGGGAGATAGCTGGAGCAGAGGAAAGAAAAGGGGCAGGTGTGGAACAGATGCAGTGGGTTGTGGGGGAGTGGGGAGGAGGGTGTGTGTGTGTGTGTGTGTGTGTGTGTGTGTGTGTGTGTGTGTGGCCTGTGTGCAGCCAGGGACACACCCCTTCCCCCTGGCCAATTCTTTTTTTTTTTTTAATGATAGAGACGGGATCTCACTATGTTGGCCAGACAGGTCTCGAACTCCTGATACCAGGTGATCGCCTGCCTGGGCCTCCCAAAGTGCTGGGATCACAGGAGTGAGATCACAGTCACCGGCGCCCTCTGACGACTCTGACTGGGGATGGGGAGACTGCTCCTGTTCCTCCTGCTTGCATCTGAGGTGTTCTCTCCCCACCCCTTCCTCCTTCCCTCTCTCCTTGCAGCAGCTCCTGTCAAAGGGAACAGGAAGCAGTCCGCAGAGGGTGACACCCTAGATCCACCTGCATCCCCCAAACCTGTTGGCGAGCAGAACGGGAGCCAGAACCCCATCCCACTGGAGGTGAGTTGAGTCCCTCTGCTGACTCCCTGGGCGCTCTTCCCTGCCACCCTCACCTGTGTTCAGCCTCCAGGTGAACCTGGACACTCCCCAAGCTCTCAGGAGGCAGATATGTTCCTACCCTGGCCCTGTCCAGCAGCCAGGGGACTGACTTGTCTTCTGTGCCAGAGAGTTATTGAAACCAAGATTGACTTGGTTTTTGTAGCAGACCCCTTTTTTCAAGTGAAGATGGCCCACCACCCTGATCCATAAAACAGACAAAAGCTCCAGCCCGTGATGCAAAACCACATTCACATCCATTCATCCAGATGCATAACATGGGCATATAAAGTCACTCGGTGAGACCAACAGGGCTGTTGCGATGAGCAGAGTCTGAAGGGGGCGCTGCAGGCAGCTTTTTCGGAGCACAGTTGGCCCCGGCTTTCATTCATTTTGGCGGTTTGCTTTGGTGGCACAGTCTGGAAAAGTATCCAGATTCATGCAGAAAAGTGTTTGCAAATGGTAGTCGTCTTTAGCAGCTTGCTGGAAATTCAGAGTAGAGGCCTGGAGGAGCAGATTGACTTGAGCAGCTAGGAGAGAGCCTTCCTTCTGAGGTCTGCACAGACCAGCCCCAGGGCCCCGGCATGTTACGATTTCATGGGTGATATATGAGTTCGTATGTTGTTTCTTCTCAGAGGTCTTTAATACCTTAAAAACACTGAACTATTACAGAAGCTGTTTACAACAAACAAAAAAAGTAACACTGAAATAAACTTGAATCAATTTTTTTTTTTTTAGGCAGAGTCTCACTGTTACCCAGGCTGGAGGGCAGTAGCACAATCTTGGCTCACTGCAACCTCCACCTCCTGGGTTCAAACGATTCTTCTGCCTCAGCCTCCCAAGTAGCTGGGATTACAGGCATGCACTACCAGGCGTGGCTAATTTTTGTATTTTTAGTAGAGATGGGATTTCCCCATGTTGGCCAGGCTGGTCTCGAACTCCTGACCTCGGGTGATCTGCCCACCTCGGCTTCCCAAAGTGCTAGGATTACAGGCGTGAGCCACCATGCCCAGCTGGATCAAATATTTTGGGAACACATGGCTGTCTGTGCTATCCTAGTCTAGATGGTTTATGTCCTGGAAGCTGTCTGTTCTCTGACAGGGTGTAGGCCCTGGGCTGTCTGCCCTGAGCCACTTGCTGGATGAAGGCATCAGCGGAGATTGCCCCTCTGGGACCCGCAACCAAAAGTCCTGTGCCCCTGGCAGCAGTGTGCAGTTGAAGCCCAGAGCTTCACCTCCCTGTGCTCAGCACGGCAGGCTGGGGCCACACAGAGGCTCGGGGAACGTGGGCCTGACAGAGCAACCCCACGGCACCGGAAAGCACCAGGCACCTTTGTTCCTTCAGCTTTTCCCTCGGCATTGGGGGTGGGGGGGAGGGCGGCGGGAAGTCCCAGGGACACTGAGCCTGCCCTCCAGGAGCTCCTAGTCTGGCAGAGGAGCTGACACAAATATGACAAATCAAGAACAAGACAGAGAAGTGACCCTGGCCTGGAGAAGGCCGGGGACTGCTCTTGTGGCCACCTCTGGAGCCGCTGCTCTGGGGTGCCCAACCTCTGGGGCGGGGGTCCTGAGCTCTAGCCCCTGCCCTGGGGCACTGAGGGCTGACACCTGTGCCAGCCGAACCCAGGAACAGTCACTCCCTCCCAGAACAGTGGCCAGGTGCTCTCTGGGAAACTGGGGTTGGGGCAGGTACCTTATTCCTCCTGCAGCCAGTGGTTTCTGCACGTCCCCAGCAGCCAGCCACCAACTGGGGCCCATCCCAATGCCTCCTGTTCTCTCCCCAGGACTTCCCCGAGGCAGGCGGGGAGCGGGAGGAGGAGCAGGAGCGGGAGGAGGAGCAGGCCTTCCTGGTCAGCCTCTACAAGTTCATGAAGGAGCGACACACGCCCATCGAGAGGGTGCCCCATCTCGGCTTCAAGCAGAGTGCGTCCCTGGGGTGCAGGCAGGGAGGGGGGCCCAGCAGGGAACCCCGCCCAGGCAGGGCACCGGGCAGGCACTCCCACTCTGGGTGACCCAGGTTGCAGATAGAAAGGAGGCCTCCCTCCAGGCTGCCACCGGGCCAGCGGTGCACAGGCCACAGCCTGCCCGTCTACTGCAGTGGCCCTGCCTGGGTGTGTGCTGCTCTGTGCCCGCGTGTCAGGGCACTAGGAAGGGGTGGCTGCCTCACCTCCCACAGAGGCTGACGGCCAGCCTGCCCCTCTCTCCCCAGTTAACCTGTGGAAGATCTACAAGGCAGTGGAGAAGCTGGGGGCCTATGAGCTGGTAAGGAAGGCACCCCCAGTCCTTGCCAGACTGCATCTCCCTGGGGTGAGCCTGCAGCGCTGTCCTTGCCTCTGGACAGAAGAGCCAGGATCCCCAGTCCTGCCCCTTCCTCCCCGCCTCCCCCGCTGGTTCTCTGCTGCTCAAAGCAGCTTTTCAGCCTTCCCCATCTGTTCTGCCCGCCCCGTGTTGGAAAAACTGCTTCGGCCAGCAGTCCGTGGCCCTGGGAGGGAGAATCAGCCGCTGTCGGAGCCGCAGAGCAGCTGCCAAACCGCAGTGCTTCGGTCCCTGCGCGGGCGGCCAGAGCCGCAAGGACCCCGCCGCCAGGGGGCGCTGGCAGCCGCGCCCTCACCAGGTGCCCTTGCAGGTGACCGGGCGCCGCCTCTGGAAGAACGTGTACGACGAGCTGGGGGGCAGCCCGGGCAGCACCAGCGCGGCCACGTGCACGCGCCGCCACTACGAGAGGTAGGGGGGCGGGCCCGGGTGCTGGACGCCGCCTGCCCTGCGGGGCTCGGCCGACCTTGCCGGGAGGGCTGGGTGGACTCTGTCCGGAGCGGGCGGGGTGGGCGCCGTCCTCAGCGCTGCGGGGGCCCAGGCTGGCTGGGCGCAGCCACCGAGGGAGCTGAGCTTTGGGGCGAGGAGGAGAGGGTCTTCTTTGGCGCCGGCGGGAAAGAGGGGCTCAGAGGAGGCCACAGAGGCCCGTGGAGGGGATGGGCGCCGGCCTCCTGGGGGACATGCCCGGTTCCTCCCCAGGCTGGTCCTGCCATATGTGCGGCACCTGAAGGGGGAGGATGACAAGCCGCTGCCCACCTCCAAGCCCAGGAAACAGTACAAGATGGCCAAGGAGAACAGGGGGGATGATGGGGCCACCGAGCGGCCGAAGAGGGCCAAGGAGGAGCGGCGCATGGACCAGGTAGGCCTGTGGCTGGCTGGGGCCACCCTGTCCCCTGCCTCTTGTAGCCCCCCCCACCCCACAACTCCCTGTGGCCACGGAGCTGTCTGCTCAGAACACACAGAACATGCTCCCAGGGCGGGACCTGCAAGGTTCCAGGTTCTCCACAGTGCGCAAGTTCTCTACTTGTGCAAGTAGACTGAACTCCAGCCTGCACCCCCCCCCCCACCAGGCCCTGTGTCCCAACCTGAGGCTGTGTCCGCTCAGAGGACAGGGCTCCTTTGGAAAATTCTGCACAAAGGACTGCAAGGGCTAGCGGGGGACCTGGGCAGGCCTGAAAGTGCCGCCTCCTGCTCCTGAGGTCAGGATGCATGGCTCGGGCAGCCCTGAGGCATGGCTTTCTCTCATTCCAGATGATGCCAGGAAAGACCAAAGCAGATGTTGCTGACCCAGCACCGCTTCTTAGCCAGGAGCCCCCCAGGAACAGTACAGAACAGCAGGGCCCGGCCTCTGGGTCTTCTGTGTCCTTTGTGGGTGCCAGCGGCTGCCCTGAGGCCTACAAGCGGCTCCTATCCAGCTTCTACTGCAAGGGGACACACGGCATCATGTCACCACTGGCCAAAAAGAAGCTCCTGGCCCAGGTGAGCAAGGTGGAGGCCTTGCAGTGCCAGGAGGAGGGCTGTCGCCATGGGGCAGAGCCCCAGGCGTCCCCAGCTGTTCACCTCCCAGGGAGTCCCCAGAGCCCCAAAGGGCTGACTGAGAATTCCAGGCACCGGCTGACCTCTCAGGAGGGATTGCAGTCCCCGGGTGGCAGCCTCAGGGAGGAGGCGCAGGCGGGCCCCTGCCCGGCAGCCCCCATCTTCACGGGCTGCTTCCACACCCACCCCACCGAGGTGCTGAAGCCTGTCAGCCAGCACCCCAGGGACTTCTTCTCCAGACTTAAAGATGGGGTGCTACTGGGGCCTCCTGGCAAAGAGGGGCTGTCAGTGAAAGAGCCCCAGCTGGTGTGGGGCGGGGACGCCAACCGTCCTTCTGCATTCCACAAAGGCGGCTCCAGAAAGGGCGTTCTCTACCCCAAGCCCAAAGCCTGCTGGGTGTCCCCCATGGCCAAGGTCCCACCCGAGAGCCCCACGCTCCCGCCCACCTTTCCTGGTAGCACAGGCCTGGGCAGCAAGCGCAGCCTGGAGGAAGAGGGTGCTGCCCACAGTGGGAAGAGACTGCGGGCCGTGTCTCCCTTTCTTAAGGAGACAGATGCCAAGAAATGTGGGGCCAAACCTGCAGGGTCCGGCCTGGTCTCCTGCCTTCTGAGCCCAGCCCTGGGGCCTGTGCCCCCAGAGGCCTACAGGGGCACCATGCTGCACTGCCCGCTGAACTTCACTGGCACCCCAGGCCCCTTGAAGGGCCAGGCTGCACTCCCCTTCAGCCCCCTGGTCATCCCAGCCTTCCCGGCCCACTTCCTGGCCACTGCGGGCCCCTCACCCATGGCCGCTGGCCTGATGCACTTCCCGCCCACGTCCTTCGACAATGCTCTCCGCCACAGACTTTGCCCGGCCTCATCTGCCTGGCACGCACCACCAGTCACAACCTATGCAGCGCCCCACTTCTTCCACCTCAACACGAAGCTGTAGGCCAGCCCATGGTGTTGCGTACACTGTGGAGTCGACCAGGGCCGACAGCGGGCAGGTGCTGCTGCTAGGGGGCTCTGGACTAGTGCCTGTTACCCAGGACACCCAGGCCATGCCCCTGGCTGGGCAGCCTGGCACAAGTGAAGGAGGAGGTGGTGGGAAAACGGTGTATCTCTCAAAGCAGCAGGCTGAGCCCAGAGCAGAGGGCCCAGTTGTTACAGGGCCCTGGGAGAGGGTGGGCAGCTCCCGCTGCCCCAGAGCAGCGCTCAGAGCACCCAGGTTGCCCACAGAAAATCCAATAAAAAGAAACGAATGGGAATCCACATAGCCCTGAGGTGCGCATGGTATAGGCCTTTGTAACAGCAGGCAAGGCGGGGGTGAACTCGTGGGTGGGGCTGCCATTAGGGGGCCAAGGAGGTGGACCTAAATGCCACCACCCCTCGAGAGCAGGCCTAAAGCAAACCCCAGCCTCTGCCCACGTGTAGGCAGCCTCTGACATCCATCCTTGCCTTCGGTCTGACTTCCTAGTTGAGCCTCGGGAACACGTTGCCTTTCTCATTGTGGAGATGGGGATTGGAGACCCTGGGAGGGTCGGTGACTTGCCCAGGTTCCCCTGGCGGGAGGGGCAGAGGAGGGCTGCGCAGGCCGTGTGACTCCTGTGCTCTGAGGAGGACCCCAGGCTGTTACCAGTGCCCCCCGGGGTTTGGGGGTGTGACCAGGACGCCTGAGTTGGTCTGCCTTGGTGGTGGATGTAGATTATCTGGGGCCTGTAGCCGAGCCCTCTCTGCAGCACCATCCCACTTGCCTGACCCACATGGACAGTCCAGAATTGGACTGGACTGAAATCACAGGAGGTGCCTGGAGGGAAAGGGGAGCAGATACCCTGGTCTCGGCCTGGGTGTCTGCGTCGGTAACAAGCCCCTGCGGTTTCAGATGTGGTTGCCCCAGGGCTCATCTAGAACCCCTGTGGCCTGATGCGCTGCTTGCTGCAGGCCTGATGGGAGCAGGGCCTTGGCTCAGGAGGAGGGAGGGTGGGTTCTTTTCAGAGGCACCGTCCCCTCTCCCCACAAGCAGCCTGCACCCAAGCAGTTTCACATGTAGTCCTGGAAAAGGGGGGCTACTGCTGGCGAAGCAGAGGGTAGATATCGGGACATCAGGTGCGAGCAGGTCAGCGGGCGACACACACCACTGGAACTTGCCGTGCCCGCTGGGCCTGGGATGCTGGGATGCTCATGATCTCTGGCCGTGGGAGGGGCCCCCATAGTTTGCAGGTAGGGAGGCTGAGGCCAGGGATGGGTAGGGTCTTGCTTGCCCAAGGCCACCATTCACAATGACAGAACCCAGGCCAGGGAACGTGCAGCATGCTTGGCACCAGGGAGTGGGCAGCCAGGCCAAAAGTGCACCCTATCCAGCCCCTGCCCCTGCCCACCACCTCCAGCCCCTGCGCCTGCCCACCTCCTTCAGGAGCAGCCTGTGGAGGGCTCAGGCACCTTCCAAGCAAGGCCTGTGACCGGTGGAAGGGCAGAGGGTGGTGGTCCCTGCTGTTGAGAGCACTCAGGCTCTGCAGGGGCATCTCCCAAACTTCCACCTCCTTCCTTCTGAGAGGTGCCAAGATGCCAGCCTAAGCACCTGCAGTGACCTGCCCTGAGCTCCCACTGCCACATGCAGTCCTTCTCTCTGAGCTGCAGAGGCTCAGTGGATGATAAAGGATGGGAAGGGGCCGGGTGCGGTGGCTCAAGCCTGTAATCCCAGCACTTTGGGAGGCCAAGGCGGGCAGATCACCTGAGGTCAGGAGTTCGTGAACAGCCTGGCCAACATGGTGAAACTCTGTCTCTACAAAAAATACAAAAATTAGCGGGGCATGGTGGCGGGCGCCTGTAATCCCAGCTACTTGGGAGGCTAAGGCGGCAGAATCACTTGAACTCGGGAGGTGGAGGTTGCAGTGAGCCCAGACTGCGCCACTGCACTCCACCTTAGGCAACGGGCAAAACTCAAAAAAAGGGTGGGTGGCGGGGTGCTGAGTTCTGCCCACCCTCCAGGCCCTGGGTGCTGGGCCACAGACCACTGGGGTCAGATCCCCTGGATAAAAGGGGCAGGGTCCCTTCATCTGCAAAGCAACATCGGCCTGGCCCCGGCACAAAGATGGGCAGGACTTGAGCGCAAGCGGCTCAGCGCTGTGGTCACGGCGCCCTCTGGAGGCCCATCAGGAGAATGCACCTCCCGTGCAGCGTCTGTCCCGGGCAGGTGGGCGCCCTGGGCAGGAGGCAGGGGACCCTGTTTTGGCACAGATGCTAGAGCCCGATGTAGTCATGCTTCCAGGACACCCTCTGGGCCCAGTGCCCCACAGCCTGGTACTAACTGTACCCGATTCTCGGAGGGCAGCATCCCGGCTCACAGCCGGACTAAATGGTGGGTTCCCATCAGTGCCTCTGATTCCTCAGTGAGCAGAGACTGAGGGCAGGTACTAGGGCTGGAGACCTGAGGTTGGGGAGAGGAGGGGACGAGAATGAGTGATCTCAGACGGGAGCGCCCCCACGCCAGGGCAGTGCCCTGGGGCCTCTGGGAAGCACCAGGTTCCACCTGAGGTTGGCGGCACGGGTTTTGGGTTTCACGGGACCAGGCCACCAGCTGTGTGCCGATTCGGAATAGGGGAGAGCCAGGTTCCACCGAGGAGACGCTGGGCCGGGGGAGTCTGGTGCAGCAGAGCGGAACAACGGAGCTGAGGCGAGTGCAGGGAGCCAGGCCAGTGGAGGGCCTGGAGTCGAAGCTGGGCGGGGAGCCAAGGACGGGTGGCGGGACTGATGGACCACAGTGGGGCTCCGAGAACCACGGGACTGAAGGAGGTGGGCTGGGACTAAGAGGGCTGGCTGACGTCCCCCGTACCTGGGTGCACTCGTGAGAGTGAGTGGAGGAGAGCAGGCCAAGAAACGAAGGGGCCAGGGCGTGGGAAGCCTTGGAGTCACCGCCTTTGGACCAAGGTCAGGCAAGAAGTGGGGAGGAGGGGCTCGGGGTCCACAGCAAGGCCACGATGCAGGGGCAGCAACATGGGCTGGCAGCAACCCACTTCGGGACAGCGTGGAGAAGCGATCTGCACTGGAGAGAGCTGAGGGAGTGGTCTCTGGGTGGGCAGAGCCACGGGCTGGCAGGGGAGGAAGCAGAGGGGCAGCTGGGAGTCCAGGCAAGGAAGTCAGAGACCTCCACCCCTCAAAACCAGAGGGTGGGCCAGGTGCGATGGCTCATGCCTGTAATCCTAGAACTTCAGGAGGCCAAGGCAGGCAGATCACCTGAGGTCAGGAATTCCACACCAGTCTGGCTAACATGGTGAAACCCCATCTCAACTAAAAATACAAACATCAGCCGGGCGTGGTGGCACCCACCTGTAGTTCCTGCTACGAGGGAGGCTGAGGCAGAAGAATCATTTGAACCCAGGAGGCAGAGTTTTCAGTGAGCTGAGATTGTGCCACTGCACTCCAGCCTGGCGACAAGAGTGAAACTCTGTCTCAAAAAAAAAAAAAAAACCAGAGGCTGCTGACAGTGCCCTGAGACGTGTTTAAATTTTTTTTTTAAGAGATGGGGGTCTTGCAGTGTTACCCCAGCTGGAGTGGTGCTGTGGCTATTCACAGGCAAGGCTATCATGCATTGCGGCACCCAAACTCCTGGGCTCAAGCAGTCCTCCCGCCTCAGCCTCCCAGGCAGCTGGGACTGCAGGTGCATGTCACGGCAGCCAGCTAAATGTTTTCAAATAATTGCCAGAATTTAAAAATCAGATTTCACATAAAAAAATGTGGATATCAGGCTTCTCTTTAAAAACCAGAATTTCTGGCCAGGCGCTATGTCTCATGCCTGTAATCTCAGCACTTTGGGAGGCCGAGGCGGGCGGATCACCTGAGGTCAGGAGTCAAGACCAGCCTGGCCAACATGGTGAAACCCTGTCTCTACTAAAAATACAAAAATTAGCTGGTCGTGGTGGTGGGCACCTGTAATCCCAGCTACTCAGGAGGCTGAGGCAGGAGAATCGCTTAAACCTGGGAGGCGGAGGTTGCAGTGAGCCGAGATTGTGCCACTGCACTCCAGCCTGGGTGACAGAGTGAGACTCCATCTCAAAAAAAAAAAAAAAATTCTGGCCACGTGGGAGCACTTCCTGGAGGTGAGCAGTTGCTGCTGCCTTTTGGACAGGGTGACCTACCCGTTCACCACAGTTGCCCCAGCCCCTAACTCCACAAACCTGAGGGACCCAGCCCTTTGCCCCCTGCCCCAGGCACCGCTGTTCAAGCCAGAGTCCTGTTGCTGCTCAGACAATAGGTGGCAGCTTTTGAGACTCCTTCCCATGTTGGAGGTTCTTGGCTTCACGCCTAGAGTTCCCACCACCTGCTGGGCCTTGTCATCCAGCGCTCAGGGGTCAGCAGATAGAGAGGGAAGCTCAAAGAGCTGAAGCCAGAACACAGGCCCTGAGTCCTGACTCCTCCCCGGGTTCAGTGTGTCCGTAAAGGTTCTCAGGCCCCTTACTGGCAAGCAACAGAAACAAACCCTAACCTAGGTAAGAGGGAGCCTGAGTGACTGAGAACTGCAGGAAGAAGAGAACCCCCAGGCCACCGGGGGTGGGGACAGCAGCCCTGCACCCCTTCTCTGGCACTGCCATGGGTGAGTTGGAGCCGGCTCCTCCTGGCCCAGAGAGCGCACTGCAGGCATCTTTTCCCAGCTCTCGGTTGATGCCTACTGGGAGCTTGAACTAGGCAAGGCAGGAGTATCTACAACCCCCAGAAATCAGCACATGCTGGCTGAGTGCGGTGGCTCACATCTGTAATCCCAGCACTTTGGGAGGCCGAGGCAGGCGGATCACCTGAGGTCAGGAGTTCGAGACCAGCCTGGCCAACATGGTGAAACCCTGTCTCCACTAAAATACAAGAATTAGCCAGGAGGGTGGCGGGCACCTGTAATCCCAGCTACCTGGAAGGCTGAGGCAGGAGAATCGCTTGAACCTGGGAGGCGGAGGTTGCAGTGAGCCGAGATCATGCCATGCACTCCAGCCTGGGCCTCAGAGCGAGACTCTGTCAAAAAAAAAAAAAAAGAAATCAGCACGTGCTACACATCAGGGCTCCCCGCGCCCCCAGCCAGGGGTCAGTCACCTAGCAGCACGCACTGCCGACTCAGCTCCAACTGCCTTCTCTCCCTGGGGTCCCGCTTCAGGATACACTGTGAGGGGAGACTCTTATCTGAGGCCTCTGCTTACCCGGTAACCTCTGAGGCTGTTGCCTCAGAGGAAGCATGTCTTCCAGGTAGACCAAGACAGTAGCTGCCGTGCTGCGTGACGCCAGGTGCGTAC